TGTGTGTGCGCGCATGTGTGTGTGTGCGTGTGCGTGTGCGTGTGTGTGTGTGTGTGTGTGTGTGTGTATAGGAAAAGCAAATCAGCTTAATGGGCTTTTTCCCTTTCTGATAGAGTTGTGCCCTTTGGGAATTTGTAGAAGGGGAAACACCCCACCAACGAAGACAGTGAAGACGGCAATGTGGCATGGAGCCCCAGCATGCCCCACGGCTCTTGGGATCAGGAAGCAGGAGGGTGCCCAGCCTGGGGCTGGAGGCAGGCAGTGGGATGGGGGACGTGACTTTGGTCTTCCTGTAGCTGGCGCGTCCCCGCGATGCTGGCTCTTGCTTGGAGCGGACAGTTGGCATGACTGTGCCCCTCCCTCTTTCTAAGTATAGTCCTTGGGGCGCAGCCAGAGCGAGGCCCGAGCCAGGCTTCCCTGGAAAGCTCTGGCTGCACAAGAGATGGACCAGGAAGCTGGTGGAGGAGGGGGGGGGGCAACCGTGGGTGAAGGTGCTCGGACCCCTCCTCTTTCCCTTTTCCACGGGTGTGCCTGGCCCCTCGCGCTGGGCAGAGGCCAAGCACCCAGCTGCTCAGACTGGTGTTTTCCTGGCTCAGAAGACAGTGCCCAGGAAAGCTGGGTCGGTCTGACGGTGGTGGAGGATGGGAGGGCGGCCAGGCGACCTTGACTGTACTCGAGACCTTCATCTACTGCTGAAGTTAGGGTGGGAGGAAAAGGCAGCCTCACCTCAGAGCCAGAGCTCATGCTTTGGCCACAGTGAGGCCCAGGACAGTGACGGTCCACTGTGCCACAGGTTTTTGTGTACAAAATGCAAGGGACAGTCTTGGGAAATTAGCCCAGTCCATGGCAGTGAACTTGCCTTCTTCTTGGTACGGCAGCACCCCCGCCCCAGCCCAGTGAGCTCCCTGAGGCCTCTGCCTGGGAACCAGCCCAGCAAGGGGAGCCCTGGGCCTTGAAACGCATCCCCCCCAGCCCTAGAGGGGCCTTTGAGTGACGGGCACCACACGGTGGGCAAATCGTCTGTTATTCTTAGTGTGAGGAATTTAATTCGCTTCACCTGCCACTGATTAGGAGTGCTGTGGTGAGCTACTTACCTCTCTGTTGGCTGTAATTGAGGCCATGGGGGGGGAGGGGCGCATGCATGTGTGTGCATGCCTGTGTGTGTGCATGTGAGTGCATGCATGTGCGTGCAAGTGTGTGCATGCATGTGCGTGCAAGTGTGTGCATGCAGGTGTGTGTGCATGTGTGTGCATGCGTGTGCAAGTGTGTGTGCGCAGGTGTGTGTTGTGTGCATGGATGTGTGTGTCTGCGCATGTGCATGCATGTGTGTGTCCATGCGTGTGCATGCATGTGTGTACACTAGGGCAGGCACTGAGTGGCAGAGCTGAAGAGGGGAGGGCAGGGGGAAGAGGGGCTGCCCTTAGGGAGCTGGTGAATGAGATTTTGGTGAGCTCCACAGACCAGCCTGCCCACCCCACCCCACCCCACGCCCGTGCCCTCTCCGCCTGGGGCTTTTCCCCCACAAGTCAGCCTTCTGCAGATGAGAGCTGGCGAGAAAGCTTACAGGGATCTGGGAAGACCCTGATCAGAATCAAAGCAGCTGTTCCCCAAGGAGTGGAGCTTTGCCAGGCCCAGGGAGCCTGGGGCATCATTGTAGCTCATCACAGCTCAAAGCAGGGACATTATATTAGCAAATAATAATAATGATATGATAGTATCACCAATTGTGGTAGTAGTAGTAAAAAATGGTGGCAATACTTTAACCTTTATTGAGCATTAGCTCATCGAATTGTCAAAACAACCGTCTGAAGCCCAGAGAGGTTAAGTAACTTATCTAATGTCACACAGCTCAGTAGCAGGGGAGGGTGGAAGTGACCTTGGCTAGCTCTGATTCTGCAGGTGGAGCACCGGGCCATGGCACCATGCCGCCTCCCATTAAAGGTCTCAAGGTAGAAAACAGGACGAGGCAGCAGAGTGGGATCTTTTTCATGAACACTGTGACCGGCAAGAGGAGTCTCTCACTGTGGATCGAGCTTATCGTAATGACTGATGTGATGTTTTGGAGATTGTGCTCTGGCCCCTGTGGTCAGATTCAGGTTGGCCAAGGTGAGGGTTAGAACCATAAAATGGAGAGACCTGAAAGCCACCTGGCCGCTGTGCCTCAGTGGCGCTGATGAACCAGAGCAGGGGCAAAAAAAAACCAGAGGAGTTGTTAGAGCTGTTTCGGTGGCTGGGTCTCTCATGATCTAGCTGCGTGACCTTGAGAAAGCCCTCTCTCCTTTCTGGGTCTCGCTTTTCTTACACCTGTGGAATTGCTGTGGCTGGAATTAGAAGATGTCTAAGATGTCTAGGATGTTCTGTGATTCTTTGGCTAACCTCATCTGGGCCAGGAAGCAAAGAGGGTGGCAGGGAGGGCTTTAGGGAGTGGATAGATCCTACAGGGTCTGGGATCTGAGTGGACAGACAGGGTGGTGGACAGACAAGAGTCAATGTCGTCTGCAAACTGCAGGGAGAGATCGGTGGGCGAAGTCCAGGTGATGCAGTAGCCTGGAGAAACTTTTGCCTGGAGCCCCACCCAGGAAAGCACACCCCTCCCAAACTCATAAACAAACAATAGCAACGACAAAGAAAAAAAAAAAACAAAACATCTGGATAAGTTCATCGAAGCTGAACATTTCTTCATCAAGTTCCCTACAAAGAAGCTATGTTAATTTCGGCATCCGTACACGGATTGTGCCATTTCACTAAGTTTCATCTTTAATATTCATGTGCGGAAGAACAATGCTTATGGCTTACGGCTTTTCAAAGGTCTCCATTGGGAAGTGGTGGGAAGAGCTTCTGGAGGATGGAGAGGAAGGTGAGGACGTAGGTTGCTCAGGAAGAGACGTCCATGGTGCGGGAACAGGGGAAGCCGATGTTGGGGAGGGACAGTGGCAAGTCCCCTGCTAAGCCCCCGGGGGTGGGGAGCATCTGAGTTGGGTAAGACCCATGGCTGGCATGGTGTGTCAAAATGGTGAAATCCGGGGACATCTGTGGTTCTTTGATTTCCCTTTTCCTGTGCCAATTTCCCCCACCTCATCCTCCAGATGCTGCATCTCCAGTCTACCCGCAGCCAGATCCTATCACCCTGTTCATTTCCTTTGCAGCACTTACTGTAATGGAAAATTTTGTTTGTTTTCTTCCAAAGTGTAACCCCATCAGGAGAAAGGACCGCAACTGTTTTGTTCACCTCTGCATTTCTGGTATCAGGAACAGGGCTGGCCATAGAGCCGGAGCTCCGTAACTATTTATGGAAGGGATCCATGCTGCCTGCATGCGTGAGTGAATAAATGGTGATGCTTTGGGCCTTGGGGGCACCTGGGCTGGGGAGACACTGGGGGCAGCGTGGCCTTGCACAGAGAGCTCAGAAGCCACCCGCTGCTGAAAACGCTTGGGAATGACCACGCCGCCTCCTCCCCACGGGCACGTCATGCTCCGAGTCCGTCTGGGGCCGGAGACTGCCTCGCTGGCGGTGGAGGCCAAGGATGGAGCTGTGTGTTGTCGGGGAAGGAGGAGAATTTCCTCTCTCTCTCTCATTTCCCTTTTGTTCTATTTTCCCCCTAAAATAACAAGCAGGCTTGGGGGCTCCAGGAAGGCTGGGTCCTTGGCAGGACTCTGGAGGAAGCGGGTGACCCTGACTTCAGCGGCTGACACACACCCCCCTTCACTGTGCTCACGGTTCTGGGGGTCGGATTCTGGCAGAGCAGGGGTGAGTGGAGGGAGAAGGCTCTGCTCCACGTGGGATCGGCTGGTGCTGGGTCGCTCGCTCAGCTGCGCAAAGCTGGAGGTGGGGCTGGCTGCGCTGGGACAAGTGTGCCCCTCCTGCTCCGCGTGGTCTCCGGCAGGGTGGGGGCTTCTCACGTGGCAGCACAGGGCCACAGAGTGTAAGAGTGGAAGCTCCTGCTGAGTTCCATTGGTTCGAGTGAGAGTCCCGGGCCTGGCCACGGCTGGGATTAGTGGGAGGCGTGTTTCAGTGAGGCCCCAGCCTGGGGAAGCTCTAGGAGGAAGACCAGCCGGGAAGGGGTTCTCCCAGGTCTGGCATGACCCTTCCCCCAAAGGCTGGGGCTTCTGAGTTAGACAGAGGGGGACTCCTGTCCTGGCCCGGTCACCTCTCTCAGCTGTTTGGCCTCCCTTGGGCACTTGGGCCATTGTGCCCCGGCCTTCCTGCCCCTCCTCCACCTGCCCCATGCCCATGCTCCTGTCACCTCCACGGCAGGCAGGGGGCCTCACTGTGCCATGGGGACAGGGGACGTGCTTCTGTCTTCTCCTTCCTCTCTTCTCCTCTTAGGTCCCACGCATGCTTGTCCCCAGTCCTCTTCTGCCTGGCACCTTCCCCCACCCAGAGCCACTGTCACCTGCCCCACATGTGCTCCACAGGCTGCCTTGTTTTTTAAATTCCCTCTTAACATGTCCCTTCTGTCTCCTGCCACCTGAGCAGAAGTCTTCGGAGTCCAGGAGCTGAGCCCAGGGCAGCAGGGAATGTTTGTCAAGGTGAACCAGGAGGGCTGGTCCCAAGAAGGCAGGGCAGATGGCCACTGCAGTGACGCACCCTCCCGGCCAGGGGACCCTGGGGCAGTGGCAACAATAGCCACTCTTGGCTCCTGCCAGTGAGGCCATATGCGATGGACGGGAGTTGGCTGGTGAGGAGGCGGCCGGCGGGGTGAGTTGGGAGAGGCGTGAGGTTTGGGCAGGGCAGGCCTCTCTTTGGGGGAGGAGCCCCTGACTCTGCAGGGTCCCCTCCCTCACCCCCTTTCCTCCTATTTCAAGGGTAAGGTCGAGGGGTTGGGGGACAGGAGCCAGCCTGACGTCTCTGTCACCCCGGGGCCCACACTTCCCACTGCATCCCCTCGCGGGTGGAAAGGGGCGTCATCACCCGCCTTGTTCCAAAGGGAGAGTCCCAGGGGGCTGCCACGCTGCAGCGCGGGCATGCCAGGGTGGCGAGGGCAGACAGACGTGGCTCCGGAGGGCATGAGAAATGGCATTCTTTATTCATAAATAAAAACATAAGATTACCAGAAATAGTTTACATGGCCAAAAAGTGACGTCAAAAATAAAAATCGAATGAAGCTGTCAAAAGCAAACCAAGCCAAACAAGAAACGATAGAGAGAAAAATAACTATGTACATCTTCCAAATGCCAGTCCATCCGGGGCTCCTCTCTGCCGAGGGTTCCAGCTTTCCCAGCAGGCACAGCGTGAGGGCCACCTGCACGACAGGTGAGGAGCTCAGGCCCAGTGGCCCGGGCGGCGCAGCCTCCTGTCCTGGCAGTACCGGGTGAGAACTCAGGGCCCACAGGGACACCCTTCTCCCAAAGCCACTGCTCCACCAGCCAGCCTGGCTCACACTGGGGCAACTGTCTCACCTAAGAGATGGTCCAGGCTGGCGCCAGCAACGAGAGGCTCCATGAGTGCCTCTCAGAGAGATGCCCCCATTCCCAGCCCCATGTGAGCTTGGTGCCCATGGGGGCTGGGTGCTCCTGGCACCTGCCAGGTGCCCCTGAGGCTGTCCTGAGAGCCTGGCCGCTCCAAGGCCCAGAGGCAGAGTCCCTTCCTGGGTGAGGTGGTGCTGAATGACACTCTCTCTTTGCAGACGGCTGGAGTATTTTTAGGCCAGGCATCCTTTGGGGAGCTGAGTGGGCACGCGTGCCAGACGGAGTGCCCAGAGGGAAGGGCAGTGAGCCCACCGAGGCCTGGGGCCCCCGCTGTTCAGAGCCTCCTTCCAGACAGGCAGAGTATGGCGTGGTCCAAGAATAGTGAGGATGCTTTCGGATGGGGAAGGAAAGAAAATCCACAGGAAGGCGAGGTCACTGGGAAACAGAACACTTGCATTCTGGAGCCACCTTGGGCCACCCCGGCCACCCTTGGGCCATCTGCCATCTGGGGTGTTGGGCAGGGCCTGGGTGGACTTCCGGGGGGGCTGGGGCAGGGCCATGGAGACACGAAGAAGGCTGAGCTCCCCTGTGGGTGGAGGTACCAACACCCCACAGTGACACACGGGCTCCAACACTGGGCCTGGGACCCGCTTCTTCCCAGGCGAGGTCTTGTGGGCAGGGTGCTGGGCTCTGGGGAGGGGCAGCCAGCCCCTTTCTCTCTCTCCACGGGGCAGTCTCAAGGGGGAGGGACTCCAACAAGGCACAGGCTGGCGGGAACAAGGGGCAAGAATGGGACGTCTTTGACTCGGGGTCGGGGCTATGCCCCGTGGAGGTACTGCCTTCCATGCAGGGAGGGGCTTCTGGCCTGTGGATTCCAGGTTTAAATCTAGCCTGTGACTAAGAGCTGTGGTTTGAAATTCCAGAACCCTCATCTGTCATTTGTGGACAGCAGGACCAGCACGGCATAGCCCGGGGACCAGACAGCAGAGCCTAGCACAGGGAAGGTGGCCCTGCCCTCAACTCTCACCCAGGGAAGGGCTGTGGGGCCCCATGAGTGGGGTGGACAGGAAGGGAGGTGCCCCCCCTCCGGCTGCCACCCCCAGTGCCGGGGAGACAGGACTGGGGATGGCCTCAGACTGTCGAGTCCCAGACTGTCCCCACCGACTCAGCAGGCAGGCGGGAGGAGCAGGACCCAGCAGGGCTGGCTGTCCTAAGAACAGCAGCTGTGGCTAGAGTCAAATATAGAACAGACAACAGCCTGCTGGGCCTGGCTTGCCTCTGACAGACAGACAAGAAAGGAAAAAGAAGAAGAAGAAAGAAAAAGAAAATTCCCTGAACCAAGCAACTCCAAAACTCTACCTTGTCCACGTTCCTCCCCCCACCTCCAGCTCTGCACGTGCTCGGGAGGGAAAGCCCGGCCTCGCCGGGGCACTGCCCGGGCCCCTGAGAAACGCTGCTGCCGTCGGGACTCTTTACAGTCTGGGAGTGCCGGGGGCTCGAGGGGAGGGAGGACAGGGCAGTGGTGGCCCGGGGCTGTGCGTACTGCTGCGTGCGCCTCCTCTTTTCTCCCTGCCTGGGGCTCTGGCCCACGGGCACTCTGGGGACCCGTCCTGACCCGTGCAGACCCAGAACTTGGCACTAAAGGCGGAGGGGAAACAGCACACCTTTGAATCCAGCCACAGGCAAAGGAGGGAGACGCCCAGATCACACATGCGCACTCAGTGGACACGGGTCATTCTGCATCCAAGTAAAACCTTGATTTGGGGAAGGAAATAACATTCCAGAGTAGCCACCGGGCAACTCCGAACCAGGTGGGGAAACCCTGCCTCTAGCCCCAGCTGGAGGGATCTGGAGGTTCCCCTGGGACGACTGGAAAGCCACCCACTCTGTGTCACGGTGCCCTGGACCCTCCCTTCCCAGAGCCCACCCCAGGGCCTCAGTGTCTATGGCTTTGGAAGGTTGGGCACTGAGGCCAAAGGCCTCCAACTGTCCCAAGGCTTCTCAGCTCCAGCTACTGGGAACCAGCAGGCAGCGCTGGGCCCCAGGGTCTGGCTGGTCCCCACCCACCCCTGGCTGACACGACGTCGTTTCTCCCTCTGACCCCCTCTGTCTGCCCAGCTGTCCCCTCCTTCCTGTGGCTGGCTGGGGTCGGGACAGCCCCGGTGCTGGGCCAGGCTCTCCAGAGCCCCTGCCAGCCCTCTGTCTGAGGCCACAGGAAAAGCAGCTCAGCTCCTGACGGGCCAGGCTCCAAGGCTTCTGGTCACAAATGGCTTCTTTCTATTCCCAAGGCATTCCGGTGTGTCCACGGGGGAGAAGGGGCTTGGGATGAGAGGTGAAGGGGAGCTTCGTACTTGGCCTGGCTGCGTGGCTTCAGGGCAGTGGCCACCTTCCCTGGTGGCGGGTATCTCTAACTATTCTGAACAAAGGCAGGTTTAGGGAGCCCTTAACCGAAGCATGGCGGTCCCTGGACCCATCCTTTGGGGAAGCCACAGCAGTCAGGGCCCGAGGTCCGGCAGGCCGCAGGGTTGGTGAGCGCTGGGACGTCAGACACGGGAGGGAAGGCCATCCTGCAACCCTGCCCGACACTCAGGGCCCTGGGCCTGTGCCCCCAGGGGTGGCTTCCATCAGAGGGGCTGCAGCCACTGAGCAGGGGTGCTGGGGAGGGGAGCCCTCTTCGAACGGGCTCAGCTCCTGCCTCCCAGGGCCGGGTCCCCAGGCCTCGCTCCCCCCGGGCGGCCTCTCAGATCTCGGTGGCTATGATGTCCTCGTAGGGGATGTCAGCCCCTTCCAGGTCAATCTCCAGGGGCTCCCCGGCCCCGTCGCCGCGGGCCAGCTGCTGCAGGGCCTTCTCCAGGCGCTGGTTGCGCTGGTACATGGCCAGGTAGCTCTGCTGCAGCTGCTTCTGGTACTGGATCACCTTCTCCTTCTCCTCCCTCCACACCAGCCGCTCGTGCTGGAAGCCGGAGGACATCTGGTCGTGGCCTTGCCGCTCCTCCCGCAGCTCCGCCCGGAGCCGCTCCAGCTCCTGCTGCAGCGCGGGGATGTCCTCCGGGAAGGCCGCGGGCGCCGAGGCCGCCACCTCGCGGGCCACCGCGGCCTGGGCGCGCAGCTCCAGCAGCTCCTGCTCCAGCAGGCTCACCTTCTCCCGCAGCAGCTCCGCCTCGTTCTTCTTGCGCTGCAGCTCGTTCTCGCACACCTCCAGCTCCAGCCCCTTGGTGCGCAGGGCGCCCTCCAGCTCCTGCGTCTTCTGCTCCAGGCTGTCCAGCCTGCCCCGCGTGTCCTTCAGCTGCGCCCGCAGGCCCAGGATCTCGCCGGCCTTGGCGTTCACCTCCGTCTGCGACTCCTTCAGCTGCTGCTTCAGGAGGGAGATCTCGCCTGACTTCTGGCACACCTGCCGGGGACGGGGGACGGGGGACGGGGACAGAGCGCCAAGAGGTGAGTGTCCCCACCCGGTACGGTGGGCCGGAGGACTGTGGAAGCCAAGCCCCTCTGTGAGGGTCTTTCCATGCTTGCGTCCGGCCTGGTCTGTCTGCGTGCCTCCCTCACCCCCAACCCGGGCCCCCCACTCACAGCACCAGCGCAGCCTGTGCAGATCAGCCATGGCTGGGTGCATCTGCCCACTGCTGGCAGCTGTCACCCACACTGAGCACCGATGGTATTGGTGTCCGTGCCAGCCAGATTTCTATCATCCACGCTATGCCCATGCCCCAACCTCACCCCTGCACACACCCAGCCCCCCCTCTCTCCTCTCTGCAGGGGCGGGGGCAAAGACTATGTCATGCACCCACTGCCACAAGCACCACACTGGCTCCAAGACAGAGCCCAGCACCTACCTGCCCAGTGACGAGCCACTGAGTGCTGCCCCAGGCCCTCTGTCACCAATTCTACTCTTGTCCCCTCCAAAACTGGACCAAGAGCAACGATGAGAACCAAAGCCATTGATCAGCCCCTGTGTCTCCGGGGTCTTGGCCATTTGGGGTCACAGACCAGGGCCGGTCTGGCTGGCCGTGTCTCAAGGCCCTACAGAAGGCACTCTTGGAATAAGACCGGAAGCCACCCTGCCATGTCCTCTCTTTCCCTCCCCCTCGCTTTCCGAGAAACACTGCCCCGTCCCAGAGAAGATTCAGCCCCGCCCACGATGCTCGGTTGGGACCAAGTGCATCTTTCCCAGGCCAAGCCCACAGTCACTTCATGATAGTTGAGGCGTGGACTTGGCTTTGAGTCCCAGCTCCACCACTTCCGACCCGGGTGATCCTGGACATGTCACATGGTGGCAACAGGGTGCAGCGATCACGCCAGTGGGAGCAAAGCCTGGCTCCGATACCTAATATATACACATCGCAGACCTTGGACTAGTCTCTTAACTAGCTGATTCTAGTATAACCTCTCTGAGCCTCAGTTTTCCTGCCTGTACACTGAGGATTAGTAATAGTACCTACTTCACTGGGGTATTGCAGGGAATAGAGGAGAGAACCTAGGGCTTGGCACTTAATAAACACTTTCTACATTATTATCATTATATCATAAATATGTTATATAAATTATTATCTATCATTTTACTAGATAGCCTGACGGGACAACCTGGGAACAAGGTCACAGCCACATCCAGCTGGGTTCCAGATTGACCGACAAGCCTGGGTGCCCACGCCAGCATGCGCTGTACATCTCGGGCGTGGCCGGGGCCATGGCGGGCGTGGGGCCTGCTGTGACAATACTTAATAGTGGGCGGGGTCCCTTCCCTCAAAAGCAACTAAGACAAGTTATGGTCTCTCGGGCCTTGCAAGGACTCAGGCACTGCCCGTCTTGCTTTGGGGCCTCTGTGAGCAGGTGCAGTGAGGCTGGGTCTGGGTTCCCTGGGTTCCGGCTTCCCAGCCAATGACCGGGTTAGGAAATTCAAGTCTGGGGGCCACGAGGGTGTGGTGGGGAGAGTAGGAAGCTCAGAGCTAAGTGCTTCCCCAAAATGGTTTACCAGAGCCCCTTCTTCGGGTGGTAAAGCCGGCGGCCCTTTAGCCCCCTGTGCGGCTGGCGTTTGCGCACGATTGGCCGGCACCAGGAGGAAAGGGGGAGATGATCGCCAAACTACCGACTGCCCAGGCCCAAGAGCACCGCGAGGCCTCACCTCCCACTGGGTCTCCTCCAGCGCGGGGCCGAAGCTGGTCTTCTCCCTCTCGTAGGACCTGAGCTTGGTCTCCAGCAGGTCCTGCTCCTTCATGAGGCTCTCGAGCTCCTGCCGCAGCTGCCGCTTCTCCTGCTGCAGCTGCAGCACCTGCAGGTGCAGCACCTGCTGCGCGCGCTGGCTCTTCTGCGAGGCCTGCTTCAGCTTGCCGCACTTGGCCTCCGCGCCCTCCAGCTCGTCCCTGCAGCGCCACAGCCGCTCCTCGTAGGCCTGGCCGGCGGCGAGCTCCTTCTCCTCGAAGCTGCGCTGCAGCTTCTGTAGCGCGCCCTCCCTCTCCAGCAGCTTCTGCTCCAGCTCCTGGATGGTGCACTCGTCCGTGGAGATGGGGGAGCGCACGCACGCGGGGCCCTTGTCCGCCTTGCTGGCGTGGCCCAGCTTGCTCCCGCCGTCGGAGAAGGACAGCGCCTTCAGGCTCATCATGTTGCTGTCCTGGAGGACGATGCCCTGGGTGATGTTGTGGGCCGAGCCTCCGAAGCGGCTGGTGGGCCCCACGGGGGTGACCAGCGGGTCCAGCTGGTAGCTGCTGCTGGTGCTGTGCGTGGGCAGGCTGGACATGGAGTTGCGGCCCGAGTCGGACAGAGCCCCGGAGCACAGGCCGGGCTTCAGCTCCTGCTCCCTGGGCTTGTCCGGAGGGGCGGGGTGCAGCTGGTGGCTGGCGCTCTCGGGGGACGAGTGCAGGGTGGCCCCTGACCGTGGCAGCACGGGCTTGAAGGCTGTGGGCCTCGCCGCGCCCTTCTCGGAGCCCTGCGGAGGAAAAGGACCGGAGAGACCGTGAGCCTCCGCAGAGCACCCATCCCACCTGTCCCTCCCTGTGGGTACGAGTGCCAGCCGACTGCATGGAGCCCATGTGACAGTCCGCCTGGTTGGTACCCACAGCAGACGTTGTGTGTTGCTTTGAAGCAGCCAAATACGGCAAATCTCTCTCAAGAAAGAAAATCCTTTGTCCCCAGGGGATGTCCTTAAACGATGACCTGGGCCCCTTGTCCTAGGAAATAGCAACCTGCCACCAGCTTGTCCCAGCCCTCCTGGGTCTCTGTGTGCTGGGGTCAGGGTGTTAGGCTGGACGAGCTTGGTGACCCCTCTTCACGTCCGCCGGCTCTCCCATTAGCCTGGAGTGGGAACACAGACTGTGGCCTCCTCACAGGGCTGCAGGGCAGGGAGGGGCACTTGGAATAACAATCCTTTTTTAAAAGCCTGATTTCCACTGGTAGAGTGCCTCCAAGTTTACAAGCCTTTTAGTTTGAAAAGCTGAAAGCTCTACGCAAACATAGACGGCTCTTTCCTAGTAAATCAAAGCAGTGGGTTCATCCCCCCAGGGCAGGGGCGGGGACTGAACAGGACAGTCATTTTCAGTGTCCACTGGTGGGACCCAGCGTGCTGGAGCTGGCACGAGGGTGGACTTCTGAGCACCCAGGACTCTTTCGCCCTCACCTGTGCTAAATAGATGGTGACAAAATCTCAGCCCTTATTCAGTCAAAGATGCTTCTGGGCCCGGCTTGAGCGAGGAGCTACTGCGTCCCTTCCAGACCCTCCCAGAGCACCCCCTCCTTCCCGCGCCTGCGCAGATGCCACCGCGCACCCCACCTGCACGGTCCGGTTACACCTCTGCAGAGCTCAGCTTCCCCTCTGCACTTTGCTCATTGGCTGACCTGAGACGTCTGGTTGAATGTCTTTGCCCGACCTTTGATCTCGGCGGTGTGGCCGAACAGTCCTGCCCTCGCCCTTCCGCTCGGTCTTCTGGGAGTCTAAACGTTCGGGCCACCACTCCCCCAGCCCCTTATGTTGTCCACCCCCCGTTCGCTCTCTCCTGCCTTTCCGCCCCACCCACCCCTGCCAGGGCCCCGCTCACCATGTCTAGCTGATTGGAGAAGGGCAGGAGCTTGGGTGGGGTGGCCGGGTCAAAGTCCACCCCGGCCTGGCCCCCGAGGTCCCCGCTGGACAGCGCCGTGTAATCTGGGCGGTGGGAGCCCCGCGCCTTCTGGCTGACCTTGATGTAGAAGAAGTCTTCGCTCTTGCCCATTTTGGAGCTAGACTTGCCATGACCCGAGTCCTGGGAGAAGCCGAACTTGAGCAGCCCGTCGGAATAGCGGTTGAGTTTCTTGAGGTGGGAGGACTTGCGCAGCTTGTACTGCGACGCCCGGCAGTGCTTGCTGTGGAAGCCGTGGCCGGAGATGAGGCTGCTGACGCTGCCCATGGTGACCCGGGGCCGAGGGAGGGCTGGGCCGGGTGGGCGCCTGGAGGGGCTGTGGCAGCGGGAAGCGGTCCTGGCTCCTCGAGGAGACTGCGGTCATAGCAAGAACCTCACAGAGCCCGGGAGAGCCATGGGCCTGGAAGGAGACACAGGACAGAAGTCAGGCTGGGATGGGGACAGTCACTGCACCATCCGAGATGGTGATTAAGGGGTAGTTATTCTGATTGCCTGATCCTGGGCGGTAGAGAAATGCATGTCGGAAGCCCAGCTCTGTCTCCACGCCTGGGCCCTCGGCTCATTCGTCCTTTGTCCACTAATTCAACAAACCGGAGAACCCGCTTCACGAGAGGCTCCGTTCTAAGCACGGCAGACCCAGCAGTGACTCACACAGTCACAATCTCTGCACGCCTGGGACTGAGGTTCCTTGTGGTGTGCACAGGCCATAAAGAAATCAGTGGCCGGGCGCGGTGGCTCACGCCTGTAATCCTAGCACTCTGGGAGGCCAAGGTGGATGGATCACTCAAGGTCAGGAGTTCGAAACCATACTGAGCAAGAGTGAGACCCCGTCTCTACTAAAAAATAGAAAGAAATTAATTGGCCAACGAAAAATATATAGAAAAACTTAGCCAGGCATGGTGGTGCATGCCTGTAGTCCCAGCTACTCGGGAGGCTGAGGCAGGAGGATTGCTTGAGCCCAGGAGTTTGAGGTTGCTGTGAGCTACGACACTCTAGCCAGGGCAACAAAGTGAGACTCTGTCTCAAAAAAAACAAACAAAGCAAATCAGTGTCTACGGCAGCCTGCCATGCCTATGCCCTGGGGAAACCAGAGCAGGGACAAGAGAACAGAATTCTGGGAGGTGGTGGAATTTAAGAGACCTCAAGCTGACATGGACATCTGGGGAAGAGAGATTACCAGAAGCAGCCCCAAGTACAAAGGCTCTGAGTCCCCGAGGCAGAGGGGACTTGGGTGTGAGACCAGCCTGGCTGAAGAATCCTTAGCAAGGTGGGCGCTGGCAGGTGCGTGAGATGAGGAGCCCTGGAGGGCTGGGAGCAGCTGAGACCTTGATCTGCCCTGGGCCGGGGAGGGTCACCCTGGCTTCTGGGTGGAGAGGCTGCGGAGGGGCCCGGTGGAAGTGGTGGGCCGTTAGGCGAGTGACTAATAGAACTGGCCCACGGTAAAGCTGTGCAGCCAGTTTCAGATGTAATTTAAGGTGCAGCTGATAGGATTTGCTAAAGGATTGGATGTAGGGAGTGGGAGAGAGAGAGAGAGAGAGAGAGAGAGGCATTGAGGACGACTCCAGGGTTTTCATCAAAGCAACTAGAAGCAGAAAGTTGCCACATTTATGGAGAAGTGAAAGGCCACAAGAGGAGCCGGTTTGGGGTGAGGAGGGGGTGGAGAACGGGTGCTTGGTGGAAGACGTTCCATTGGCAAAGCGTGTTAGGCACCGCGGGAGTGCCGGGGAGTAGGCGGGCAGCGGGGTGGGTGGGCAGCTGCAGAGCCCGGCAAAGTTGCGCGTGTGGAAGCCGGCCGAGACCACGCGGCATCACGGCAGGGCGAGGGCAGGGACAAGAGGAGCGTGGGGACTGGAGCGTGGCGTGCTCCAGCGGCAGGACGGCAGCGTGTTAGAGCAGACAGAGGCTCTCCCATGGGGTGGTTTGGAAATGCCTCTGGGTGGGCGTCAGCTCCCCAGGAGACTTCTAATCTGAGCCGTGCTCGGTTCCACCTGTGGAACCTGGAGACTGTCGCACTCCCTATTCTGCATTCACATCGTCCCTCGGGGCATGCCACGTGGCAAATGTCACTGTGAGTGCGAGAAGGGGAGCGGGACCCCTTATGAAGAACCCGAGTCTCATCGTGGAGCCTCAGCTGCCTTTCCAAAGGAAGAACGCAGCCCCTGCCAGGCCTGCCCCATCTCCCTGCTCTGGGCGGACGACAGGGAGTCCCCTCCGGGCCACGCTTGCTTCTCAGAGCTCAGCTCCTTTTGCCTCCAGCGTGCAGGCAGCTCTTGCATTATCTAACTTTGCAGGGTATAGGTTTGCCTCCCCGATTATCTTTAAACCTCCTTGAAGGCAGAGACGGGGCTAAAGCTTCTCTGGAGCACAGAGCGCTGAGCACAGTGCTTAGAACATAATAGGTGCTCAACAAACATTTTTTTAAAAAATCAGCTCACAGGGAGGCCCAGGGACTACTGACCTGGTTCGAAGAAGGGAAGGTGAGGCATGGGGGTGCGGGGTGGGGAGACGTGGGGCCTAAACGGAATTCTCAACATACTCAGATGCCAAAGCCAAGTCTATACAACCAGAATACAAGTCTCGTTTCCACCCAAATGTTTGTCACTTAGACTTTAAGTCAACTGGTCACCCAGGGAGGAGTACGTTTACCTCCTTCTCAACAAGTGGCCCTGCTCAAAGTTTTGGACCAAGCAAAAGACATAAAGGCAGAGTTTCTGTTTCCAAGGATCTGGCTGAGAGATAGGGCAGCTACGCGCACTTCAATGAGACAAGTTTAAAAGGTAGCACTAACTTAACTGAAAATGCAAGAGTCTCAGGATTTCGCTGAGTTAGGGCCAGTTGCCCTCTGCCCCCAGCACGTGTGTGGCTTTAATTTTTTGTTTCATGCAGAAGGAGCTGAAAGTTCTTACTCTCTCGTCTGCACCCCCCCCCCAGACACCCCAGTGGAAGATGCTGTCCAGGCTGTCGGGTCTCCTTGTTTCTGGCATTGTCCTATACCCTTTCCTCCCGCTTCTCTGTCGGCTGCTGCTGAGACCCTGCTCGTGCAGACCCTCTGTCCTTTGTGGGCAGCCGGGTAACAGAGAGGTGCTAGGTGGGAAGTCGGGGAACCCGAGTTCTCATTCTGGTTCTGCCTCACTCCTGCTCTGGGACACTCATTTCATGTTCTGGGCCCAGCCGGCTGAGACCCCAGACCCAGCACACACTCTACCTGCGTTATCACATTAGGCCCTGGGCAAAGGATTCCAGAATGAAGGATTTGTTTTGGCATCTTGCATAAGATTCAACCTTTCAGCACCTCTATTTCCTTAGGTGTCAGATAAGCAGAGTTGATACCAACTCACAGCTATTGCTAGGGTTAAATGAAATCTCATATATATTTAATAAAAATGCCTGAGCATAGTAAGAAGGACAGGACATGCTGGATGAATTGAAGCCAAAGTGCTTGTGAAATTATAAAGCACTGTGGAAAGATGCTAGAACTAGGTCCTCATTTGTCTTGAAATGAAAAGAGCAGGTCCTGGCCAGGTACGGTGGCTTGCAGCACTTTGGGAGGCTGAGGCAGGAGGATTGCTTGAGCTGAGGAGTTTGAGACCAGCCTGGACAACACAGTGAGACCCTGTCTCTAAAAAAAAAAAAAAATCTAAAAATTATCTGGGCATAGTGGCACATGCCTGTAGTCCTGCTACTCAGTAGCCAAGGGGTTGGATGCTGCAGTGAGCTGTGATCGTGCCACTGTATTTCAGCCTGGGTGACAGAGAGAGTTTGTCTCTTAAAAAAAAAAAAAAAAGAGCAGGTGCTTTAGGAAAAACTCCCTTCCCCCGCCCCCAATCTCCCGGTGGCACCAGACCTGCCTCTCTGCCTCCAGGAGGGCAGCTGGGACTTGCAGAGCCCAGAGAGCCGTCCCCAGGCATCTGCTGGCTGGGGCTGGGGGCCCCTGGCTGCACCAGACTGGTGGGCGGCCCGCCAGCTCCCCAGCAGAGCTCCCTCTGGGGCTGAATGGGGCACGTGTCCAGGGCTAATTGATCCCCCTTTTATGGCGACTCCCTGACTCCCCCTCAGCCCCGCCCCTGTACACACTGCTTTCCCTTATCTGGAATTCCTCCTGGTTTGCTCCTCTAGATGAGGGGGGAAGGGAGGGTCGTCGGGCCAGGGCTGGGGCAGGGGCCAGCCTTTGAACTAGTTAATCATCTCAGCCTGTCTGCAAACCTCTGGAGCCTGCAGGGCTGCATGTGCAGCTCAATCCATATTTTCTGAGTGAACAGATGAATGGGAAAGAGGCGAGAAGGGAGAAGGGGGGGCGGGGGGCGGGGGCGGTGTAAGGGGAGGCTGAGGCTGAGGTGCAGGGCGGGGGGGGGGGGGGGGCGGGGACACATCCCCAGAGAGAGACGCCCCATACACTGGCTGTGCCCCAGCCCTGGCCCGGGGGAATAGGCGGCAGCCGAGGTGCAGGGCGGGGGGGGGGCGCGGCTTGCTGGTGGGCTGGGAGCAGAAGCCCACGCAGCTCTCAATTAAGTGCACTTGGATTCGGTGGAAAGGCAGAGAGTGAAAGGGAAATCGCTGGCAGGCTGAGTCATTCCATTGGGGTGAACAATCGGAAGCAATTCCGCTTCCCACTGCTCGGGAGGAATCAAAAGCCACTCTGCCTGGCAGCCTTTTGTGTGCGATTGTCGCTGCGCTGAACCTTCCTCCGTCCGGGTGGGCAGCTTGTGTCTTGGCAGCACTGATTGACATTTCTCCCCGGGAACAAGATTACCCACCAATCCCAACCTGCCCTTCCCCCTTCCAAAAATAAACCCACAGTTACATGCAAAGCTCATGCAAATGTAACCCTGCTGCTGTCTGTGCAGCGGCTGCTGCTCCCACCTGCAGGAGCAGGAGTTGGGCTCATCTGCATTTGTGGCTTGGGTGCCACCGGGCACCAGAGCTATCTGGGCAGTGCCTCGATAAAGGGAGCCATTTCCAAAGACCTGTGACAGATCCTAACTGGGGGTGTGGGGGAGATCTCCAGAGGAGGGCTGGGTACCTGGCTAGACTCTCTCACTTGGACAGACAGACTTAAGGAACCCAGGACCAGTTAAAGCTTGGGAGGCTGGCATGTCGGGGGCAGTGGCCCCCTTGCCTACCAACCCCTCAGAAACTCAGAGTGGGAACTAAGACCTCCTGGAAGGTGAATTCTGAGTCTGAGTGATGGATGGTCACAACCAGCGGGGCCTTGGACAGGGACTGAAATGTAAGTCTTACCTACTTACCAAATTGCTGGCTGCCTGAACTTGCCTGGGAGTCCAAGTTCAGGTTCATTAGGCAAGAACCTGTGAAAAGGCAGCCTGGGCGTGGGGAAGGGGAGTGGGGACACACTGGTAGCTCCCTGGCCCAGGTAGCAAGGTTAGTACCTGATTGGCCTTT